TATATGTGAGTGGTCAGATTCAAGCTCCGGCCACATTTCCTCCCTGGGAAGGAATCCCCGTTAACTACCGGATAGCAGGCTCGATGGGCCTCAGTGCCAGTCTGGACACGGTGATGAGAAAGATTCAAGCTCCGGCCACATTTCCTCTCTGGGAAGGAATCCCCGTTAACCACCGGATAGCAGGCTCCGTGTGCCTAGGAGCCAGTCTGAACACGGTGATGAAGAGAAAGATTCAAGCTCCGGCCACATTTCCTCTCTGGGAAGGAATCCCCGTTAACCACCGGATAGCAGGCTCCGTGTGCCTAGGAGCCAGTCTGAACACGGTGATGAAGAGAAAGATTCAAGCTCCGGCCACATTTCCTCCCTGGGAAGGAATCCCCGTTAACCACTGGATAGCAGGCTCGATGGGCCTCAGAGCCAGTCTGGTAGAGGTGGCGCAGAGAAAAATTCCTGCCCCTCCGGGAATTAAACATCTCTTGTCCTGCGCCTTAGTCAGTCACGGCTAGCACAGTTCTACTAGGACAAGTACGCTGAGGCACAATTTTCTGTAACAATTTGTACCGACAAAGGACCGCTGTATACAGCAGCGAGGAGCCACTATGAACGGACAGAGCGGTATTGTAAAGGTAAAGTTGTCCCTGTGCTTAACTAATTAAGCGCTACGCCATGAAGGCGTATGGGGGAGTAGGTGTATAGATCCACATTGGCTTGACTTTGGCACTAGTTGGAGGTGAGTGGTCAACTTCACGCTCCTGCCGCTTTACCCCCGGGGAAAGAGCCCACTGGATAGGAGATTGGGTACGGTATGTAGTGTACTATATAAATTAGTAAGACCCAATGAAATGGTAGCTACTGATACTGATATTAACTTTTCGACCCTGAAGACGAAAGCAACAAGTTCCACCGAATCGTCGGTTAATTGTCATCGGACCACACAGAGTTATACCGCAGAAGACACCGGCCATCAAAACCACAGTCATGTGAATCTCCAGCTACTTCACAATTTCAGCAACAGATGTCGTGCGCTGTCCAAAGACTTTTCCACTTCATTAACTCGCCATTCAACCACTGCGTTAGCCACCAGAGAAAATCAACATTTTTCATACAACCGTATGCGACGATCTGACCGAGCACAAACATGGTAGCACATCTGAAATGCATATAAAATATTTTCACCAATGCTAACACTGTTGGAAAGAAAAATGTGGGAAAACATTTAATAATATATTTCGTAGTTAAACATTATTTAGAGAGCAGCTGACGGTGCAGCAGAATGTGGTCATGTTTTGATATGAACAGCAATTCTGAACGTACTAGATAGGATATGTCGCTGTTTCTATAGAACGCCAAAATTAAAATATACAGAAAGTATATTGCGTTTTGTTTTACATGCCCATGAAATCTGGTCTCTCATTGCAAGGGAAATGGGAATTTGAGAGCAGCGTTGAAGGTACCAGCTGCATCGAAGGGGGGGGGGGACTCTGTCTATANATCTCTGAGGTTGCATCATCATCATATAGTGACGAAGATCACTGCATGATGATTAAAAATTTACAAGAATCTACTGTCAACATAAGCTGGGAACCATAACCGCCATACAAACGGTCGCGCTAACAATTCATTTTCTTCCGCAATGTTTTCAGCTCAAGGTACGACGTGTCCTCAAGAGGACGAAAACAATACTGTGACATGACGCCTAAAAGTCGCAGTCAGGCGTCCATTGCCAGGCAACGGCTCGGTAAGCACCTCCTAAAAGCCGGAATAGTGGAGCCAGACAAGGAACTAGCCATTTTGCTAGGCAACGGCTCATACATGTCTCCGAGACAACGCGTACATAAACAAACGGTTACAACGGACACGAGAAACTGGACCCTTGAATTAGGTGTTCTGTACCACGGTCGGCCGTAGACAATAAAACAAGAGGAGTACGACGCGTGAGGCCCCCCCCACACACACACACCAAATATTTGCCATGTAACTCGCTAGCATCATTCCGAACAAAAAGGTTTAGGAAGAACTGACGAGGCCCCCTTTCTTACAAATGCATCAACTTATGATCACTCTCTTTCTAGAAACGTTTTCTTGGTTTTACGCTACAGGTTGAAACATAGTACGCACCAACAGCTGCGTGACTTTTGACAAGTTTGCCGGTACACATCAATTGTTCCCTGGTATGGGTGGATACCGGCTGAAAGGCAAGCACGCCTGTAGCCAGAAACTGGCACACTTCAGTTCCAGTAACTTTCTTCAGAAATGCGGGATGTTCTATCTGCTCAGTCCCCTACCATTCAGTGTGAACTACGGGTCACAGGATCCGGGAAGTGCGACCTCAGGTTAACGTTGTTCTCAAATAACACCTTGATGAAACCATTGCTCCAGTACTGAAGGAGTTTCCCTATGTCTTATGATGGAATACGGGCTACTGTATGAACCCGCGTTATGTGAAACCACTTCTACAAATTGTAGATACATTTAAGGGTCTTGAAGAAACTTAGTTTCAGCCTTGGGCAGTACACGACAGTATTCAAGGCAGAAGTATATCCCATTAAGGCATGTATTATGGAGAAGTTAGATAGGAACTATAGAAATAGGAACATCTACATTCTATCTGATAGCCAGGCTGCACTTAAAGCGCTTGGNCATAGGACCTGAACCAGCCTGTGGCATCTCTATAGGAGTGGCCAGAAAAGCAATCAGGGACTGGACTAACATGAATCACAAGAAATACTGGGGATCCTTGACTGGACTCAGGCAAGCAAAGGGACTCATACGAGGACCCTCTGCTAAAAGAGCGAAGGAACTGTTGAAGTTAAACAGGAACCAGCTACGATGGGTGGTAGGACTACTTACAGGACACTGTCACCTAAAGGCGCGTCCATTTTACTCGTGCGACTCGCTATGCTCGCGAGTAATGTGGACGATATGACAAGTCACGAGACAAGCAAATTAAAAATTTTTAATTTAAAAACTATAGCCAATAAATTAAAATACGACAACAGCCTACACACACTACGAGTAAATATACGGATCCTCACGCGCCGAAGCCTGGCGAGCAACTGAAGTAGTGTGGACGAAGATTTACGGGCACGAGTAAAAGCCAGAAGAGTCTCCCGACGAGCACAAGCCTGGCGAGCACGAGTACGAGCACGAACACGAGTAATGTGGACGCGCCTTTAAAGGACACCTCTTCAAATTGAGACTAAGTAACAGTCCAACTTGTGAGAGGTGTCAAGAAGAAAATGAAACAGCCACACATATCCTGTGCGAATGTGAGGCCTTAGCTTATTTAAGACTACGTCACTTGGGTCAATATTTTATGGAACCAAGTGATTATTTCGACGTCCCCACGTACAAAATCCTGCGCTTCATTCGAAGTGCAGACATGCTGAGGGGATAATCAGAAGGGGAGGCACAACAGATCACTGTAGGTAGCGGTGCAAGGGCCAATGAGGCCCACCCCTTATACATTCATTCAGTCGTAAGGGTCTTGAAATTGCGTTATTCTTTGTATCACGACAAACTGCTTCCCAGCTACCCACCAAACAAAGGAATCAATCCCGTGGTACACGGTCATCCTTGAGCAGCTGTAGCTTAATTAAGCTAGTCAACAACTTCCACCGATTTTAAGCGACCCAAGATTCGCCGTGCTCACAAATGCCATCAACTGAACCCTCTCTAATAGACACACTTGCAAATAAATTACTTTACAATTGCTGGAGCTCCAATCCGTTACTTCGTGCCTCAACACTGGATGCAAAACCGTAGAAAGTCATCCAAAACAAGGAACAAAACAGTGGACTAGGTGGACGTGAAGCGAAACATATTGAGATTATAACTAGTTTAAAAAGAAGGGGGTTTCACGTTCCTTCATGTTATACAACATAAACATGCTAGTACTCTCTGAATGGGAGGCCGAATTAGGCGATCCAAATAATTCGCAGAGTATTCGATGATAGTCTCTTTTGCCTCAGTGTAAATCGCCCATCTTCAGCGGAAAGGCGCAGGACACAGCTGCTACTACGTGATCATAAAATACAAAAGTGTAAATCCGAGTCTTCGGTATTTCTTGGGAAGAGCCTCAGAACTGCGCAACGGCCTCAGTAACTACATACACATTTCGGGCGCAATTTTGTACTTCTCAGTACATCCCTGGTATTCTCAAACTCCATGAAAGTTCCATTTCCTTGTCTGATGTCACAATACTTGCTCTGTGAATGGGACTCAGCTTATTTCTTTCTTTCTTGCAGGAACCGGGGGCACGCGGTAGCGTAGTTGGTTGAGGCAGTGTGCTACAAGCCGGAAGGCCGCGGGATCGAATCCGATGAGGTGGATTTTTCAAGTTACCTAATCCTTCCAGCCGCGCCATGGCCCTGGGGTCGATTCAGCCTCTAACAGAAATGAGTACCAGGAATATTCTTGGAGTACGCTTGGGGGTAAAGGGGGCCATACACGTACGAGCCTGGCTCGCGAGTCCGACTCGGCTCGGGTTCCAATGAGCCAAACTCGTCCGTGTGTGGGTCGCCTCAGCTCATGCGTGTGTGGTGAAATTAATCCGACCCCGGGTACCGAGTCAAGCTTGCCGAGCCAGACTCGTACGTGTATGGGCCCCTTAAAGGGCGGCCGGTGTGTGGGGCTGACAACCTTGCCGCCATCTATGAGCCGAGTGTCTAGAAAATGTGGGAACCCCAACATCTCACAACCCCATGGGTCTCCACGGCCTGTTACAGGGATACGTTTACTTTTTACTTTTACTCTTGTAGGAACCACAGAATATTCACTACGCACACATCTGCCATCTAAACGTAATGGAGATACAAGGCTACAGCTTCCAGGAATGTGACGTTTTCAGAACGAACATCACATTCATAGATTAGGAGGTGCCAACAGGGCAAAGTGATGAGTGATACGTTCTAATAAAACAGCTCCGATTAGCGGACAGAATTCTGTCGAGCGCTAAGCCACAACCACGTTGCAAGAACAGAGCGAGAGGGAGAGAGAGGGAGGGAGAGGGCACGTGATATGTGATGGAACGAACCGCTGGGGGTCTGCATATGACGAGTAGTCCCAGTTTAGCTTTCAGCAGTGAATCGAATGACGAGTGTATATATCTGTGCAATTGCGCTGTAATTTGCTGAAGTTAATGGTGTCCATTCAGCTGCAGAGAAGAATGAGAAGGCCCTACAGAGACTAGCACCCAAAGCATAATGCTCCTTTTTGTTCAGCCTATAACCTTTACCAGGTACCACATGTGTTATGCTTCATACTTATCTACTTCTCCTAAACTGCTCCTCCCTCCAGCGTGTAAACACAGGCAGTGTGACTAGAGAAGGTGCAGAAGTTCAGCCCAGCCCGAAAGCGTGATACGTGTGCTGAACGTGGAGGAATATATTACAGTCCTTGAAGGATGGTACTGAACCTGGAATTGGTGCCACCGTGAGTGAATGTAATGGTGACCAAGCCTACCTAATGTTGCAAGCTTCGCCAGTCGGGAAATGAAACAGTCAAGATAATAATGCGAGTGTTGGTGCTACTGTGCTTGGCATTGTTGCGCAGCGAAGCCCTCGAGCTTTGTGATACTGCGGGACCCTGTTCTTGCGACCGTTCATGGGGAAAATTGAACTGCTACTGCACCTCTACAGAAAAAAAGGTAATTCAGCAATACACTTCGCGGTATTTTCCGATAAATTTCATAGGCGTGGCAGAGGTACTCCATCAGTTATGAAATTTAGAATATCGCACGGTATGCCCAATCTTTACGAAACTGCATAATTCAAGATCGTTGTTACTATCAGAGGCCCATAATGAATGGCCCTCACTGCATCGCGTTAAAATTAATGTTTGTTAAACAGGGTTACCATAACCTCACGCACAATCGTTACAGTTTAATTGTACAGAGAGATAATGACTGTCGGAGTACGTTTTGTTGTGCTCACGCGTTAGTGCTTATACTTAACACACGCAGCAACCCTAGGTTCGTAACTGCCGTGAGAGCGATATAGCCGTAACTTCGATGAATTGCTTTAACGGTGAAATTAACAACAAGATAATGGTACGGAACGGATAAAGAAAGAGCAGAAGGGAGGTGGTCTTATCCACCAGTATAGGTCCACATATAATCTACATGTGTACAACAGTCTATGCAAAAGAGTTTCACCATATAAGACTAGTTGCAGCAGATTTATTTAGCTTGCACATGCAATACTTTTGATGTCATTTGCCTTCTCCCAACGTATCGAAAAATACCTCCAGTTCCGAGTACAGTGGAGCCTCGCTTAACGAGCACCTCTCATAACGAGCAAAACAAATAGTAAAAGAAATGACTCGCTTAACGAGCGACGTTTCGCATAACGAGAGACGAGAGGGGAAATCCCGGATTGTGCGCTTGCTACATCAGTGTGTGTTTAGCACTGGTTCCGCTAGCGTCTTAGTGTCGCTTGTGATCACACATTTTTCCAAACTTGTGTTCAGACATATTATTTGTGATTTTTTTTTGTGTGCAGAGTTTAATAACCCATGCAAAAGTGACCCAGAAGAAAAAGCCGCAAAAAGAAGGCCATAAGAGAATAAAAATAACCTTAGAAATGAAACGTACGGTAAAATTGAAAAGCGAGAACGAGGTGTGAGCGTGGCTGATCTAGCACGCACATACAATCGATCGACATCAACGATTTGCACGATTTGGAGTTGCATTGTGTTTCACAGCAAGGAGTTGTGGAGGAGAGTTTGTCAGAGGAGGAGGAGGAGGAGGTGGTAGCAGAAC